GGCTCCACTCAGGCACAGCAGCTCAAGCATCCGTGACATTCCCGGGCCCTTCCAGAGCCTGGCATGGGAAAGCAGGCCCGGCCCAGGCCTGCCAGTGATTGCCTGTGGCAGGAAGGACAGCCTGGGAATTGGTAATGTCGGTGACTTCATCTGCCAGCTGCATTCCCACATCTTTACTACCTGAATAACTGAGCTGCTGCCAGGCAGCACTTTGTGGTGTGCAGGGCTGGGCAATGAATATTTGATTGTGCAGACAACAGAGAAGAGCTCGGCTGGTTTAAGGTGTGACAGCACAAGTGTTGATTAAATTCCAAGGGAAGGGAGCACTGCTGGACAGCAAGGATTTGTCCCGTGGTCCCTGTCTCCCAGGTGTGGGGATGAACAATGAAAGGGCCTTCGCAGGCAGCAGGGAGGGAGGGAGGAGAGGCCAATTCCCTCCCCCACAGAACCCAAGTCAATCCTCCTGTTCATTAAACCCTCTGCAGGCACAGAGTTATCTGTCCATGACCAGCCAGTCGCACACAAAAGAAAGGGAAGTACTAAATTACAAGCTGATTTTAAGTGGGCATTGATTGAAGTAACCAGAAGAGAGCTTAGTGTTGTCAGAGTTTCATACAACAGTAATAAACAAGCTTCATTAAAAAATTATGTGCATCCCTAAGAAGCACAGCCAGGTTTCAGATGACAACATTAAGGTGCCCCCCACCCCACACACAATCAAAGAGGGGGGAAGAAAATTCCTCAGGATCTTTTTCTCCTACAAATTTAATTTTGTTCATTAAATAATACCATTCATTAAAATCCTTCCCACTCTAACTTCTGCTTTGGTCCCAGGCAAGAAACAAACAAAGATTCTATTCTATGATCTCCTCCAAGCAGGAAAAGGTTGATGTAAAAAAAGAAATCAGACAACTTCTTTGTCAACGTTCTCCTACACCACCAATGATGCAACCAAGTCATTATTTGGCTGCTGGGTGTCCAAAACCTCTTTGTGTGAGGGAATAATCACGACTTTCCACACACACAAATGCAGCCACTTCCCTTAGCTGAGCAGGGCTGACTCACTGAGCACACCTGAGCCCACACATATGCTGCAGTTTGAGGGCAACACTTGCCCACACACTCAGTGCAGCTGTGTGAGCAAATTCACTGTGCTCAGGAACTGCTGCAAACCTTTTCCCTGGGGGTTCTCTAGCTCTGAACACTCAGAGTTGTCTGCACAGGTATCCCAGCCTCCCTACACCCCTAATTTCTGTATTGTGGATTATTCATGGAGCTCTGTCAGCTTTGATTGTTCAGGTATGGAACACATATGATGTGCATCACTCCTCCACAGGCCATAGCATGAACATTCAGAAAGGTGCCTGGAAATACTCAACTGCATGTCTGGCCTATGCTCATATTTTCTACATTAGTCCCCACTATCCTGTAGCTCTGCTCAGCTGGCCCAAAATCAGATCTAATGCACAGCAAAAAAAAAAAAAGGAAGAGCATTCAATGCACACCTGTAATGCAAGATTTCCAAATCCTGCTTGCAGGGTGGTTTTCTGAAATCCAAGACAGGTCATTCAGCACCAATTTTTCTGGTCACACCACAGATTGTGGTGCAGGGTTGGTTGGTTTGGGTGTGTAAAGGGTGTGACCTTCAGCTGCAGCATCTCCTGCACACGGAGCCCCCTTGAAGGTTTTTCCTTCATCTCTGGTGTCTAATAAAGTCTTAAATACAACCTGACTTACCAAGGCTCACCCCAGCTGTGTCACAGCCAGAGCACACTTTGGGAAGGACGGACACAGAGACACTCCTGACACACAGTCAGCAGCTACTGCCTGCACAGCACTGGCTCTCCTGCTGCATTATCAGTAAAAGCTTCCTGCTTTATACAGATTTAAACTCAGTGTTGTCCCTTTAACATCTCCAACTGGCAATCTGGAACAGCAGCTGGAATTACAGCGTGTTTAATCCTTCAGGGTATATTCTCTCCATGATGCACACGACTAAAATGTGTGCACTGAGGGACAAATGTCCAGTAGCTTTAGGTGACTGCAGCTTTGCAAACTTCCCTTCAAGATTTGATTTTAAAAAAATGAACCAGAGAAGAATATCTCAGGAGAATTTTGAGTTGAGATAACCTGCCATATTGAAATATACCTTTTTTTTTTAATTTATCCAAGGAATGGTTATAAAAACAACCATCCAAGTTAAAATAGCATTGCAAAATTTCCTTATTGATAACAGCATTAGTTTTGTAAGGAAATCTAAAACCTATGACATACTTCTTAAAGGCAGATTTTTGAAAATTACCTGATTGTCATAAGCACAACCCCAGTTTTACAGACGTGAAAATCGTGATTAAAAAAAAAAAGCACATAAATTTCTTATTAAATGCAACAACAGAGTTGTCACCAACGGGGGGAGGAGGAAGGAAGCCATCAAGAATGGCAGGAGGATAATGGGAGATGATAAACATGTACTTGAAATCTTTTGCTAGGAAGAAGAAGTGATGAGTCAGATAAGCAGAGGCGCCACATGGGTTGTATCTCCAAGCAACAGGCAATGAAACCTCCAGATAAGCATCTTCATAAAGTGCAACGGGCTCAAATCACAGGTCAGAGCTGAGGAATCACTTCCTGGGTCAGCTCAGGCAGGAAAAATTTATGACCTACTTAAAAAAAAAATCCTTCAAACCTAGAAATGTATTTTCCATAAAGAACATCAGCCACTCGGGGCACGCCCTGGGAACAGCAGGAAATGGGAGTAATTGCAGCACCAAAATGCAATGGTGTGCATGAGCAGTGTTTAAATAAAACCTTCACATCCAGAGCTGAGCTCAGGGTCATTTTCTGCACATCTCAGAGATGGGAAGAGAAAAAAATGAGCATAAAATACTCTACTTTGCTGGGCCCCGGTACAAGAACATCTCAGTCTCAGAACACAGTGTATGGTTTTTCCTTGTGTCTCCTTTACTCTGTAGCAGAATTCACAGCCCTGCACCATCACACATAATCTAAAATTTGCACTAATTTCTGCATGGGAAAGGACAGGGCTCAGGCAATACAAAAACTGATAATAGATGGTGAAGTCCCTGAATCAAAAGTCAATTCAAATCCAACCTGTCTGGCAGTGAAGTAAATAAATCCCTGCCATCAGCATGTCCCTTACAAACCCCATGTATTGTTTATAAGAAACTTATGAGGTGCTACAACAAAACTGAGTCACTGCTGTACATTAAATATATCTTCAGCATCCTAAAAACTTATACAATGGACTGTGGCAACTGTAATATGAACACACATGTTAAAGGCATTAAAAATGGAGCTTCATCACCTTCACATGGGCCAGTTCATATTAAAGCTCCATCCACACCTCAGGAAAAGTTGTTTAGCATGGAAGAGCTACAAGTCCTATATGTTCATTGCTTCTACTGGAGGTGGAATAACAGTTTCAGAATGGTCATATTTCAGAATTATTACACATCCCTGTCACAGGTAAAGGCACTGCCCCTACACAAGAGGGAAAATTCCCCACCCTGATAATCCTGATATCTCTTTCTGTACCAGCTGATAGGGAGGAACAGCTCTGCCATTAATCACTCTGAATCTCCAGTGTCACACACACAGACAGAAGCACTCCTGTGATTCAAACTTGTAACCTTTCAGGGCTAACAGGTATAGATGAACCAGTCCAAAAAAAAAAATCATAATGGATGCATCTATGTTCTCATCTGTATCAAACAATTATTTTCAAAATTACTCTGTCTTGTAGTAAAAAAACCAAAATTCCCCTTAAACAACCAGCATCAGATGTTTGTCTAAGCTCAATGTGAATTAATTCAACGACTTTTAAATATTTGAAAATGGAATTTATAATGACAATTCTCAATATCCAAAGTAAACGTGGTTATTATCGAACTCAGTTATAAACACATATAAGAAATACCCTGCAAGACCCAAATAAATTCATTTGGCAAACAATGGAGTGTCTTGGACTCAGCATTTATATCAATAGCAGAGTCTGAAACAGGAGCTTTTATTTTAACTCTCTTTAAACCACCCTTCAGAACCCTGTTTCTGTATGTGTTACAGTCTCTCTTTACAGTTTAACCTCAATCCAATCAGCAGCCTCCAGGGATTTTCAAATCGCTAAAGATTAAAATCCTCTCTGACTTGACTGTTTGACTAATGCTGTGTGTTTAATAATTCTACTTGTGAGAGATTTTATTTGACAAAATCCTGCTGTGTGGACCCTCAGACGCTGCACAGCTGCACTGGAATATAAAGCTCTGCTGCCCTTGTTTCTTTAGACAGGCTACACCCCACCACTGAGGGGAAAAAGAGAACTTTATAGTACATATATTACTCTGTTGATATTAACATAACCACTGTGGTATTAAATTTACACACCCCTTCAGAGCAGAGTAGTGAAAATGTGCCTATTACACAAACATCAGATGAACTCTCCTGTTGTCCTGACTGTTCACAGAAATCAATTACATTTATGATTACATTTCAATGAAAGCTCTTTTATAAATGAGATGGAACTGTAATATTCTCTGCTTCGGGCATTCATTAATAAAAGCAGTTCAGTGTTAGTATTTGTAAATGTTCTGCTTTTTAGTTTAGGCAGATTTTAGCATTCTAGAGCTCGTGTTAAACCTCACGTAAACAGTGTGTCCAGATCTTACCACAACGCTGCGACTTCACATTTGAGTGGTAAGAGGGGAAAAAAAACCAAACCAGCAAGTCCTCATTATGGCAGCACTCAGTGAGTATTTGTATAACAGCACTTACCCCGGTGTGCAGCTGAAAATCACAATACCCCTCAAGCCTGTGGCAATGGTTAGTGAACATTTACCAAGGGAAAAAACCAGCAGGTTGATGAACACTGATTGAAAATCACAATACCCCTCAAGTCTGTGGCAATGGTTAGTGAACATTTACCAGAGGAAAAAACCAGCAGGTTGATAAACAGCATAGAAAACCAGAAATGAAGGTGTTCCTACCTGAAGTAGCATCGATGACTGTGGAGACCCCTCTGCGGTCGGCCGCGGGCCGCGGTGACCCCGGCATGCTGACGGGCTCCGAGCGCACCGGCTGGATCCTGCGGGACACACACGGTCACCCCGGGGCACAGCCAGGCCTGAGCCCATCCCTCAACCAGCTGGAACCATCAACCATTTGTTTCGAAATGTGTTTGAAGCTGCCAAAAACTTTGGTTTTCCTTCTCCCAAGATCTGGAGAATCCATCTGGAGATGGATTGAGACTCACACAACAGGAGTGTTCCCGATGGGAGCTCTCAGGGAGCCTCAAATGGAAGCTCTCACCCCACCCAAGCTGCTTAAAAAGCCTCCAGCACCTCCTCAACAGCAGGTGTTGTCACTTTAGGAGAAATGACTCGTTTGTAACTGCCCACTCCGTTAGTAACATAGATCCACCTGAGTATTTTTTGAGACTTACACAAAGGGAATATTCCCAAGGCATGGCTCAGATGGGAGCTCTCAGAGGGTCTCAAAGGGAAAAGCTCACCCTACCCAAACAGGTTAAAAAGCCTCCTTCCCCTTCTGAACAGCAGCATTTTTTTTTGGTAATTTTAGGAGAAAAAACTCATTTATAGTTGTTCATTCCTTTTGTAACACAGATCCATAGTAGTATTTTTTGAGACTTACACAAAGGGAGTATTCCCAAGGCATGGCTCAGATGGGAGCTCTCAGGGAGCCTCAAAGGGAAAAGCTCCCCCCACCCAAACTGCTTAAAAAGCCTCCAGCACCTCCTCAACAGCAGGTGTTGTCACTTTAGGAGAAAAGACTCATTTGTAATTGCCCACCCCTTTTGTAACACAGATCCACATGAGTATTTTTTATTTCAGTTTTCTTTCTTCATACACACACATATGTACAATAAAAAATAATATGTTTGACAGCCATATCCTTACTCATGGTAATAATTGCAAACAAGGAGAAATCACACATTGCAAACCCATGGATTTCCAGTCCAAGGACAGTCTGCCCAGTTTTAATGGGATTAGTCATAATATCCATCTCTCTTATTTTACTAAGGGTTTCAGACAGAGTCCCAAACCATCCAAGTCCCTACCACAGAACTCTGGACTCCAAGTCCCATGAGGAGTCAGAAGCATGGAAACTTGTTAGATCTGGAGTTCCTGGACACAAACACATGGTGCATAAAGCTCTTGTACAAACCACCAGTAAATACAAACCCACAGTTGCCTTCGCTCTCCTTCCTTCCCTTCCCTAGGCCCAGCCCCTACCCCCAGTTCCAAATCAGCCAATGTCCAAAACCAGATGAATCAAACACATGAAAAAGAATTACAGGGAAGGGACCAAAGGAAGGGGAAAAAACCCAAAAACCAGGGAGCAGGAAAACATTCCAGAAGTTCACTTACTGTTCCAACACACTGATGCTGATAGTCAGCATCTAAATCCAGGGCACAAAGCTCCCACTCATGGCTGAGAAAATGGATTTATTAGAGGATGCTGAGCAAGGCCACCAGGCTTTGTCCTGTCTTTCCCTGTCGTGTGCCCAGGAAGGGGCAGCAAAAGGAACCTGAGCTGCTTGGCCTGCGTGGGTTTTTACTGTGGGTGAGTCACGCGCTCTTCTGAGACTTTCATCTGGCCAGGCCTGGTGAAAGCTGTGACACATCCTGCACAGATGGCCCCGTTTAAGCAGGAGGCGAGTTATTCACACGACAAATGTGAAGCAGCTTGGAAAGGGGTTGTGTTTTTACCTGAGACTGTTGAGATCGAGATCGTCCGTGTCGAAGTCCAGCAGCGGCTGGGGGGTGTCGCTGGGGCCGTGCGACTGCAGCACCGACGAGCTGGAGGAGATGACGGTGGTTTGGCCCGAGGGGTGGATTGTTTTGAACTGGAACTGGGGGCCCATCCACAGGCGCCGGTGGGGCCCCGTGTGAGTCACTATTTCCACCTGTGGGAAGGGAGTGTGGGAAATGATGAATGCAATGAGTGGTTCCCTCCGAATGCTGAGCGCCCGGAGCCCGGCCGTGTTCAAGGGAAAAGGGTGTTCGGAGCCGTCCATCTGGAGGAGGGTCTAACAAGGGGAAGTTTGGAATGTCTTTGCTAGAGAAAAGATGTGTTAGCCCAAGCCAAGAGCTTCTGGCAGAGCCTTGAAAGTCCATGAACCTCCAGCCTGAGGACACTGAACCCCGGTTCTTAAATTGTTCTGAAGACTGACGCTCCATCCTGGCCATCCCCTCACCTGCTCCTGCTCATTCCTCCCCTTGCCAGGATGAAATATGTGCTCTAACTCGAACACAATGAAACTGCCCTTGTGGTGTAACCAACAGGGAAACACATTCCTGCCTAAATCTGCATGGAGCAGCCAGAGAAAATCCCATCCTGACCAGGGCAAGGGATGCTCTTTTGGGAATCTCATTGCAGCTCTTTGTGGAAGTTCACACCTTTAACAGCCCTGCTTCCCACGGACACAGCGCGAGCTGGATTTCAAATCCAAGCTCATAATTCCTGTTGGCACATGTGAGGAGATGGCTGGCAGGGAGCATCTTGCTGGGAAGCACAAGGTTTGTAACCGAGAGCGATGGGAAGGGCCCTGGGATGAGCCCGGGTCGTGTCGTCACCGCGTAACACAAACAAGGGTGTGCAACAGAAGGGCAGCCACACACAAATATACTCATGTAACCCAAACTCTGACAATTAAACCAGAGGTGGGGTGCTTGTGTGCAGTGAACAACTGCCCAAAATTATAGAATAGGCATATTTGGGATATTTACTGCACGTACACGCAGAGAGACAAAAGCTTCACAGCTCCAAGGCTGCTTCCAAAAGGCACAGAGAATTCCTGTGGTGTGTCTAATAACTTCAAATATTCAAGTTTTCCTCTGGGTGCTTGCTCTCTGTGAAAGTCTGGATAGGGACTTTGGAAAAATAAGTTGTTTCAGTAAATGAAGCATCCAAAATATTTAAAAAATGTCTTTTCACACTGATAACTTTAAACGTGATGAGCAGCAATTCTGATAAAGTATTGAATAAGGCAACTGTAGGACTGCAAACAACCATGAAAATTTAAGATGGTAACTGGAAAATTAGGCCTTGTAATTAAATAGGTAAACAAAGCATAGAACTTCTGTAATTACAGAATAGAATCATAAAGCTGGAAAGATTGTACAACACCAAAAATCAAAAAGAGCTTTTAAAAATCAGAAAAGGGGAATGTGAAATAAAAATATTAAGCTCTGGTAAACTCACACTTTTAAGACAAAAAAAAAGACTTAAATTCCTATCAATTCTGCTAAAATAACAAACAGCAGAAATATAACTCAGTGAGGGAATTCAGGAAAATAGATTTTGTGTACACATGACATAGATGTCCACTAGCAGTGACTGTCAAGCTTTAAGAGGCAGTTTGAAATGCTGGGTGCTGGTGAAAGACAACAACCCCCCAGCCTGGGCAGCGCTGTTTCCATCCCTGCACTTCTCTCAGCCTAACTCAGCTTGGCTGCAGCCGTTTCTGAGGCAAGTGGCTTTTATGTAGCAGTGTAAATTAGGCCACAGATAAAGTAATCTGTATATTTTAAGCTTGAAACCATCAGTGTCACAGAGCCGAGAGGTAAACAGATGCCTTTGCAATTTTACTGAGGCTACGGCCAGATGTTCCTATTCACTCTCCTGTTGTGTGCAGGACAAACATATTGTATCTACTTCCCACTGACAGCACACATTACCCACTGTTCTAATTGAAAAGTTGAAGTGAAGGGCGGTGTTTTTTCGCTGCATGCTGTTACTGTTGATAACAACACTTTCATTTTGAAAAGCACACTTGCACTTGGGGCTTAATCTGAAGTGGCTTTGCTCGGGGAGCGGCAGTGCCTTCGTGCTCCGAGGGCTATCACCACCCCTTCACTCAGCAAAAATTAAACATTCTGGAAGCATCCTTGGAATTATCTGCCTTCTGTGACATCAACTGGGATTTTTTTATTTTTTTTTTTGCCTTGTAAATATATTTGCTCTTTCAGAGGGATGGGTGTGATGAAGTTCAAGAGGTCTTTAGTTCCGTTGACACCTTTTATCGTCCAAGAATTAGTAATAAACAGACACCCATAAGGTAGATTTACCTTAATTTCTTTTTCCTGTGGTTTTCTGATGTACCACAAAGTCACCAGAAGAGTAAAATAACTCTCCAAAAAGTACTGGAGAGGTGGAAAACTACAGTTGAGATCTTGCCCCAGTGAGCTCAGGGATGGAAGTCCTGCTGACTGCCCCGACTGAGTTGTTCCACCACCTTTGTGCTGTGAGAAATTAGACCCAGCACAGACAAATGAGATGTCTCAATGTGCAGCCACAGCTGGAACCCCAGGCCAGGGAAGTGGATTCCCATGGCAGGATTCCCCAGTGAATGTGCTCCTGGACAGGTGGAAGCCTAACCTCTCATTTTAGGAGAAAGCTGTGTATGATTTATTCACCAGTGGGAGAAGCAAATCCCATCCATGAATATTTCATACTTATGCCATACACCCCAGCAACACATTTAATGCATCACTCCCATAACAACATTGTTCTTAAACCAAAGGAAACCCACCTAATTTGTCAGGATGAATTCCATGGATCAGGTACCTTGTAATTGCTTTGGCAAATCCAGAGCATTTGTAAATGTTATTTATTTATTTAGCTCTAACCTTTTATTTCTAACAGAAACTAATTCTCAGTGTATTATTCATGACCTACATTCTTAAACTGAACTTCTGTTTTGAGCCAAATGGTCAAGTATTTACTGAGTTTTTAAAGAGGAGCTTCATTGACTGAGACAAAACAAGAATGGATAAAAACACAAAGATTTGACCTCATATAAAAATATTCCACCAAGCAGGATGATTTCAAAGCAATACAGTGTTTATATCTAGCTATAACTCACAGGAATTATCAGCAGGAAATGCAGATAACCAGAAAAGGAAGGAAGTAAACCATTTTTATGGTAAAATGCAGCACAGTCACCACCCAAAAGTCATTTTGCCAAGCCAACCTCCTTTATCCACGTCTGTCAGCAGAAAGAGGGAGAGGGGTAACTTGCTGCTGCCAGCTGAAACTTCCCACTTCATCCTGAGCTTCCCAAAGATGTGATTGTGTCAGTAATGATGGGGCTTTGTCTGTTTTTATCTAATTTGTTTAAAATGTAGAGGCCACCAAACTCACACCACGTTAAACCGGGAGCGAGCGAGTTTCACCCACAGCAACACCCCTGGTCGTTGGAAGCTTACTTCCCTTTTGGAAGGAAGGTGTTAAATTTCCTTCCAGTGGCTAATATTCCTGTTTTCCTGAACTGGAACACCCCAGAAATGTACCTGGGACAGCCACTCCTCGTCCTCCTGCCCGCTGTGGTCGGAGGCCAAGCTGTCGTAGGACTCGTGCCGGGTGATGGGCCCAGGGCTCCCCGGTGGCACCACTGAAAAAGAGCCAAAACAAAATGAAAAATCAGATCCGCTGTTAAATGAATAAAAATCAGATCCACTGTCAAATGAATAATATAATAACTTTTTCAGTAAGTTATTGGTACAGTAATTTTCCTAAAATCTGCGACAACAGATTTCCTAGAAGCGCAGAAAGAGCTCAAATGTTGACATCAAAAGGGATGACAAGATTCCTGTTCTTTAACTTGGATGCATCCATAGAGCCACTGAGAAAACCCATTGGCTCTTCTCCTTTTAACCTTAAGTTCTTAAAATACTGAAGTATTTTTACAGTCACACAATTTTAAAATAACTCAAAGTTTTGAAAATTATTTTTTGCAAATTAATTTTTCAAAACTGTGTTATTGCAGGGTCCACCTTTCTGTGTCAGGTTTCCAAGCACTACAAATGTTTCCAGCCATGCTGTAAACCCCCCAATAACTGGAGTTTTAATGGCAAAGCATAAATACCCACAAATAGAGAGCGGCGCCTCTGGAACGTGAACAGCACAGGGGCTGCAGAAATCCATGGAATAAAGGGAATCTCATCCTGCTTGTGTGAGTGGGTGTCTCAAGCTATGGAGCCATGAGATACCATGCACTGGATATTGGGAAGGAATTCTTGGTTGTCAGGGTGGGGAGGCCCTGGCACAGGTTGCCCAGAGAAGCTGTGGCTGCCCCATCCCTGCAAGTGTCCAAGGCCAGGTTGGACAAGGAGCAACCTGGGATAGTGGGAGCAACTTGGGAATAGTAGGAGGTGCCCCTGCCAGTGGCAGGGGGTGGAATAGATGATCTTTAAGGTCCCTTCCAACCCAAACCATTCCATGCTTCCATGATCTGCCACACTCCCTGCACACACCCCTCCACAGCCCCTGGGTCAGCAGTGTCTCTTCACCAGTTTTCAGACAATATAAAAACTGCCTTCAACTGCTCCATTCCAGCCTGTCAGACCTAAGTCAACAACTTTGGGATGTGTCTGTTTAGTCCACACCAAATTCCTTTCAAGAGAACACCCCCCCCTTCCTGGGTCACAAACACCTGAGGATTCCCAGGAAAATCTGAATATGAAACCACAGTGCCCAACCTTAAAGCTCTATATTTGAAACCAAAGAAACAAACCCTTATTTTGACACATTTTGCTGTTGTCCTGATGTTCCCCACATCCCCTGGCTCCCTCCACTAAATCCTCCTGCCTGTTCCAGAGGGCACAGCTGATCAACTGCAGGCTTTCCTGTTATTGAACTCCCTGACAGGCTCTTCGTGGCTCCAGCAGATGGTTTTGCTTTCAAACCAACGGGAACTTTATGGACTGTTCTGAATTTTTTTTGTTCTTTCTATCCCAGGGGCAACTACTAGAGCTGTCAAGATTAGGGAAGCTGCAAAAACACAGCCCAGGGAGCAGCATCCCCCCTGCTCGCTCACCGGATTTCTCCCTCGTGGAATGACTTCTACGTTTTCCTGGAGCTCCGAGACAGCTTTACAGTAAGGAAGAAATTATTAAAAAAAAATAAAAAATTTAAAAAGCTGAAAAAAATGATCAGTTTGGATGCTGTGCTGCAAGGCTCTTCCTGAGGAATCACAGCTCTGCACAGGTCTTGTGCCTCCCTGCAGCTCCCGAGCGCGGCGTTAACTCTTTCCACCCAAAAAGTGACGACATGCTGGATTCCACGGAAAAGCTCTGCCTCAGAGTTCACCAGCAGGGCAGCACTGATAAAGCCTCAGCTGGGGTCAGCCCTCAGTAATTTATTTGCCTATTTAATAAACCAGTGTTTCTGTCCCACACCTATCACAAAAGCAGCGTTCAGAGGGGCAGGTTTGGATCCGTATCTGGGATCCGTAACGCTGCTCCCGGTCTCCACTCCCACCATTCCCAGTGTGCTGGGAGATAGGACTTCATAAGACAAGTGATCCTTGCTGGAGATTTGCCATCCCTGTGCTGCTTATTCCACATATACATATGGTCATTTTTTTTTCAAGTTTAAAATGCCCTTGAAGTTACAGGAACAAACACGGTCTGAAAATGCAAACCCCATTTTCCCCCCTCATTTCTGGGTCACGCACCTCTCACATCAGTATCAAGTTCCAAGATGAGATTAATTTAAGCCCAGAGGGACATTTCCAGGAATTTGAGCTCAAAAGTAATCTTTTATCTTCCAGCTTAATTCTTTGAAAATCTGAATTCACACTGGAAATTACGGCAGCCTCTCCCCCATCAGTGGGGCTTTTCTTATGCTGCAGCAAAGAATTGTTTCAATTTCCCAAGAATTTCACTATCAGACAGGATATAAAATAATTAAATTAAATTATTCCGAAGCTTTGCAGCAAGCAGTGTTTTTTCTGGCACTCCTGGAATTCCTCTTTCATTGGGATAAGTCACAAATGGAGCACACACAGACCAGGAGCAAGCAAACCTTTGCTGTACAGAGGTATTTTACTGGCAATTGCAGGTGGTTTGCACCTTCCTCAAATAATCAATTCAATGCCTTGTGTCAGAGCTGTGCCAATTTTTAACCTTTTCTGTTCTTACACCAACATCTGGAACAAACATATATCAAATATCAGAATGCAACTGAGTTTGTTTAATTGAGAAATACACAAATGGGAAGTGAAAAAGTACAAAGAAAATGAGTGTTTATTAAAAATCTAAGGTGAGAATTAGAACATACAACTTCTGTCCACGCAGTATGACAGGACATGAGTTTCTAAAGTCTGCTTGTAAAGGCTAATAAATCTAAAAATAAGCACTCAAAGGTACTTCTGAAAAACTGCACTGGTACCTGCAGCAAAAAATCAGGGTTTGGCCATAAATATTTGGCAAGGGGCAAAAACCAGCTCTGAGCTGCCCAAAAGGAAGAGTAGCACTTTTAAGCTCTGTCCTCCTTCAAGTGAAAAGTGATGCAGATCAACTCTAAATGTGGAATATATTCCTGCCCCTCCACCCTGAGCAGCTCTGCTGAGCCACTCCACATTTAACCAAAGGGGCTGAAAGAAACCACATTACAAATGAAGTTATTTGTGTGATAATTGTCAGTGCCAGGAAAGCTGCACAGAAGGGACTGTGGGGACACAGATTTCAACACAAGCCAAAGCAAAGGCTGAAATACAGCAGAGCTGATATTTCCCTGGAATTCTCTGGATGTGATTCACACACTTTCATGATTAAGTATGAAAAAAAAAAACACCATTGTTTCAAAACTTCCCTGTGACATTTAGTGACAAGTAAAGAAAACAAACAATTTGTATTAATCTCAAATAATTTGCATAGACATTTCTGACACGTGAGCAGCACCCAGACAAATACTCACGTTTGAGGAATACTGGAATTAACATGCAGTGGGTTTGTTCATAGATGGGCTAATTATACAATAAATACCTAGAGCAAAGACAAATCTTCATTCAAAGATTATAAATTGTCATCTTTCAGCAGCATGAAAGTGTTGGAACAAAGAACCACTACAGCTCAATTGTAGTGCCTGCACTTATGGTTTTAATTTGGGAACAATAAATCATTAGTTTTACTTAGTGCTGTGTACTCCTCGAACCAAAAGGTTTTAATTTTCTCATTTATATAAATAAGCTTTGCACAAGTCAATTTAATTGAGAGTTATATATGAAATTCCCGATGTACTCTTCTCTAAGAATGTTTGTCCAAACTGGGAGCAAACAAAGGCGCTCGAGGACTATAAAGCCTATTTGTTTGGTGCACATGCCTGCAGACAGCCCCAGAGCTTGCCTTTATTCCAGCTAAATACACACTTCCAGGCTGAAATAAGTTTCTGAAATCCAGTAGAAACAGGCCAATGTACTCCTAACCAATCCATTCAGCTCTGGTGGCAAACAGGTACTTGGGATAAAAGGACACATCCTTGGTTTCGTACAAATCCCACCCTAACATCTGATTTTGATGCTTTTCCTGTGGTTCCTCAGTTATACCTAAAACAACCAGAGGTGGTTTAGAGACCTGAGGTAATCACAGGCTTGTCAACAAGCTTCAGGAGTGCTTCTCCCCAGTTGGATTTACTTCATGCTCCTCCTGGAACTGCTGGCATTGGTTACCCCGTGTCACCCACGACAAGCACGAGGGGATGGTTCTGCTTTAGGTCTGCAGGCAGCCCCTTCAAATTCACCTCACAGATGTGTTCTCCCTCCTGCCAGAGGCTGGTTTTGATGTCCCACAGTTGGCTTTGCCATGCAGTGCATACCCAAGGAGCCCTCAGTGAGTTTGTGTCAGTGAGTTGGGGCTCTGTGCCTGCTCTCCCTCTGCTCGCATCTGACAGTCAAGAGAAGATCAGAGGTTCATTTGGAATGCTCACAGCCATGTTTACAATAAACTCTTTGCAGTCTGGTGATATGCTCTACGTGTTTTTACTTGTGGCTCTGTGTTACTGAACCAAGTTCTGGTTTTAATGCAGCTTTCAGCTTGTAAACTTCTGCAGGAGCACGGCAGGCAAATTAAAATATGTCCTTTTACCCAAAACTTCTCCCCACTCACTTTTTTTTCCTGTAAGGACTTTCTGACATCCTTATATACATAAATATCATAAAATTAAGCTTAAAAAAAAGCCCCGTAAAGTAGTTTAGTTGGGCTAAGAGTTATTTCACCCCAACAACTTACTGGAGCTTTATTCAGTCATTATTTGTGTACTGCCCAAAGTTTATTGGTGCTTTATGGACCATCCATTCTCTGTATCAGCATTTTAATACAGGAATAAGTAGGTCTGTAATCAGGACATGAATTCTCCTCAGATCTTCCCAGCTTTGATGACTGCTTTACCTCCTCCTTACTTACACTGGTCTGATGGTCAACAGCCTGGAGGTTTTTTCCCCCAAAAAGGTGTTTAGGCCTCACCATCACCCCTGGTTGTACTGCAAGGCTGGTATATATTCCCTGTGCTTAATTCCAGCTTCCATCTCTAAAGTTCCCTTAGGAAACCAGCCAAGCACGATGAACTTTCAGGCTGGGCAGAGCTAGAACCTGATATTACTCACAGTCCAGA